GTATATACAGTTTTCCCACATCGTTTGTTGAAAACACTATTCTTTGCCCCCCTTTAAGTGGGTTTGACATCAGTGTTGCAAATCAATTAACCATATATGAATGGATGTATTTCTGGACTCTCAATTCTATTGCATCGATCTCAATGTTTGTACTTGTGTCAGTACCACACTATTTTGATTACTGTTGCTTTGTAGTAAGTTTTTCAGTAAGAAAGAATGAGTCTAACTTTGTTCTTTCTTAGGATTGTTTTGGCTACTTAAGGCCCCTTGAAATTCCATATGAATTTTAGAGTTAGCTTGTCAATTTCTACAAAGAAGTCAGATGGGAATTTTGTAGGGATAGTGTTGAATATGTAGATCAATTGGCGGTTGGGGGTTAGTAAAGCCATCTTAACAAAGTTAAGTCTAATCCACAAACATGAGATGTTTTTTCACTTGCTTAGACCTTTAATTTCTTTCAACAATGCTTTATAGTTTTCAGGAAACTTTTTTTTTCTTAAATTTATTTCTAAAAATTTTATTTTTTTGGATGCTTTTGTGAATGTAATTGTTTTTTCAATTTTATTCCCAAACTGTTCATTGCAAGTGAATATAAATACAATAGACTTTTGTATATTAATTTTATACCCTGCACACTTGCTGAACTCATTCATTCTAATAGTTTTTTTTAGTGGATTTCTTAGGGTTTTTAATATATAAGATCATTACACCTGTGAATAGAGAAGGTTTTACTTCTCCTTTCAAATCTGGGTGCCTTTTATTTCTTTTTATTAACTAATTGTCCTGGCTAGATATCCAGTACAATGTTGAATAGAAGTAGCAAGAGTGAACATCACTATCTTCTTCTTGATGCTAAGGGAAAGAATTAGTCTCTCACCATTAAGTATGATGGTTTTTTCATGGATGTCATTTATCAGGTTAAGAAAATTTCCTTCTACTCCTAGTTTGTTGTATATCTATTAATGTGAAAGGGTGTTGAATTTTGTCAAATTTTTTTATGTGCCTATTAAAATAATTTTTTTATTCTATTGACATGTGTATTGCATTAATTGAGTTTCAGATGTTGAATCTACCTTGTATTCCTGGGGAAAGTCCCACATGGTTATGATGTATAATGCTTTTTATATGTTGCTAGACTTCTTTTGCTAGTATTTTTTGTTGAGGACTTTTGTACACATATTCATAAGAGATATTAGTCTATAGTTTTCTTTTCTTGTGGTTTCTTTGTCTGGCTTTGGTATCAGTGTAATATTGGCCTCACAGAAGAATTTGGAAGTGTCAAAGAGTTTGGAAGCATTCTCTCCTTTTCTATTTTTTGAAAAAGTTTCTAAGCAATTGGTGTTAATTCTTTAAATATTTAGTAGAATTCAGCAGCGAAGTCATTTGGTCCTGAACTTTTCTTTATGGGTAGTCTTTCTCTCCTCCACCCCTCCACCCCCACCTCCTGCCCCACCACCATGTTGGTCAGTATAACTAAAGGTTTGCCAATTTTGTTGATCTTTTCAAAGAACTGGCTCCTAGTTTTATTAATTCTTTGTACTGTTTTTCCATTCTCTATTTTGTTTATGTCTGCTCCAATCTTTATGATTTCCTTTCCTGTACAGTACTTGTTTTATGTTTGTTTTGCTCTTCTTTTCTCTGTCGTAAGGTGGGAGATTAGGTTATTGATTTGAGATCATTCTTTTTTCATAAAACAGCTATGGATTTCTCCGTTTTAGATGCATCCCATAAGTTTTGTCTGTTATGTTTTCATTTTCATTCATTTAAAATATTTTCTAATTTTTCTTCTGATTTCTTCTTTGACCCATTGGTTATGTAGCAGTTTGTTGTTTAATATCCAAATACCTGTGAAAATGTTTTCCTGCTGTTCATCCTCAATTTCATTCCACTTTGGTCAGAGAACATAATTTATATTAGTTCTAGCATTTTAAATTTATTGTTTTATGGACTAGCATATGGTCTCTCCTGATGAACCGTCAATGTGCACTTGAGAAGAATGTATATTCTGATGTTGGGTGGAATGTTCTGTAGATGTTTGTTAGATTTGTAGTGTTGATCAAGCCTTCTATTTCCTTATTAATTTTCTATCTAGTTGTTCTATTAAAAGTTGTATGTCAACGATAATTTTATATAAATATGTGGTCACGGGATGTGGAGTATAGTGTGGCGAGTGGAGTCAATGGAATTGTAATAGACATGTATGATGTCAGGGGTGGGGAGAGGGGTGTTGGATTGGGGGAGGGGTGTTGTCACTTTGTGAGGGGTAAAAAGTATAACTGTTGCACTGTTTTGTACACCTGAAACTAATTTTTAAAAAATGAAAAAAGAAGTGGGATATTTAAGTCTCTATTGTTGAATTATTTATCCCTTGATTTTTGTCAGTTTTCCTTATTATGTTTATATTTTTCATGTCAATAATCCTGATGAATTGACCTTTTATCTGATGAAAAGTCCCTCTTTATCTCTACTTTTTTTTTTGTTTTGAAGTCTATTTTCTGATATTTGCATAACTTTCTTGTGGTTGCTGTTCGCATGATACATCTTTTTCCATCCTTTATTTTCAATTTATCTGAATCTAAAGTGTGTTTCCTCTAAACAGAATATAGTTAGATCATGTTTTATCTACTTTGATAATCTATGCCTTTTGGTTGAATTGTTTCATTTATTTAGATTTTTATTATTATTATTATTATTGATATATTTGGATTTACATCTGCCATTTTACTTTTTGTTTTCTATATGACTTGTATCTTTTGTTCCTTTATTCCTTATTTACTGCTTTATTTTGCATTAAATGAATATTTTATAACATAGTATTTTAATTACTTTAATAATTTTTTCACTACATTTTTTGAGGTTTTTTATTAAGTAGTTGTGCTAGGTCTACCATATACATCTGAACTTATCAGAATTAGTCTCAGATTTATACTATCTTATTTCCTGTGATATATAGAAATGTTATTCCTATATAACTCTGTTCCCTTCCACCCCTTTATATGGCATTATTATTATACATATTATGTGTTTTAATGTTACAGAGCCAACAATACATTGTTATAACTATTACTTTGCCCTCTGAAAGNATTTTTATCTTTATGTTTATTTCTTTTTTGCTATACAGAGCCTCACACAGTTGTCTGAAGTAACATTCCACATGTCATAGCTGTAGCAGAATCCTTTCAGGTATCTGGAAAAGTTTGTCCTAGGTTTGTCTGGGTTCCTGGATATTTTAATCAGACATTGGCATTTCCGGCACATAGTTGGTGAGTCCATAGAGATAGCTCTGTGGGCTGCAAGCTTTCTGGGCAGAAGCCAGACCTAAGTTTCAATGAGTATTTATGGGAGCAAAGTGAACTGGCCTATTTCTTCAGGCAGTAAATATATATGACTTACCTCTCCTGTGTGCCTTTATTTATATGTGTGTTTATGTTGGCCAGTCTATCTACTCCCAGAACACTGATCAGTGGTCCTCAGCGTGGGTAGTATGTTGGAATCATAGGGAGAGCATAAAACACACCGGTGCCTGGGCCTCGCCTCAAGCTCCCGATGGAGTTGGTCTGGGCATGGGGTTACTAAAGCTTTTCAGGTGATTCTGCCATGAGCCCAGGTTGAGACCTCTGAGCCAGACACTTCCCTGTCATAAAACCTCTTTCATCCACCCCCCTATTGTCTTTGACTTAAATGAGTGTTAATCGTTAAGAGGTAGGAATAAGGAGTTAATGTCAAGGCAACATGTTGACAATACTAGTCTCTAGAATACTAGCTTGAAAACTAGCTTTCAAGGAAGGAACTTGCCTTTATCCCCAAGGAGATCTTCCTGGGTTGGGAATTCTAAGGAGCTCCAGGAGGACTAAACAACCTCAATTGAAAGATGCCAGAAAGTCCTATAAAAAGGTTCCTTTCTGAATGCGTCCATCAGATTCCATCCTTCCTGAGGCTTACTGCCCAAGAGTCAGGAGACCCTGTGGCCCAGGAGGTCTCTCCCCTCTGGTGCTTACAGAGATGGATGGGGAGGGGGGCCCACCTCAGAACTGGGTCCATCCTAATTTCAAAGTTTGTGCTGTTGCCTTTGGCCACTAATTGGTAGAAGCCCAAGCAGATGGCCTGGGCAGGGGTTTCTGATATGCACACCTGGGGCGTAGATTTGGAGTGGAAGTGAGATCTGGGGCTGATGGAGGGGGAGAGACAAAAGTGGCCACATTTGGGAAGGGCGGTGATATTTAGAATTTGGGGAAAGGAGAATATTAGGACAAGTAAATGAGTAGGAGAATAGATGTGCCCTTGCAATCCCTGAGGGAGGGATGGGAGAGAGCTGGTTGCCCCAAGGGAGGGACAGGCTTCCAACAATTAGGCTGGAGAGAGATTTCTGGGCACCTAGGCATCCCAGACCCATCGTGAGGGCCATCCAGGGCCTGGAGGGTGAACAGTTGTAGCAAGGTGCCTGCTTCCTGACCCACTTCCCACTCCCTCTCAAAGGAGCAGGCCTCAGGGAGCTGTGTCCAGAGCATGCTGGGAGATTGCCCCTGGCCAGACCTCATACTGCCTTCTTCAAATGTAATCTGGACCATGAGTGTGCTGGCTCATTGGGGGGAGTGTGTGTGTGGGGGTTGCCCCCAGGGACTGCCAGTGCAAAGGCCTGCAGGTGGGAGGGACATGGGAACCTGCAGACCCCAGTGGGTAGTACAGAACAGCTAGACAAAGTTTTCTGGAGTGCATCCTATGAGGGCAGGAGGGAAATGGGAGAGAGCAGGGGAAATCATCATGGCCCCTGGTTGCTGAGGGTGAAAAAGGCCATGGTTCAGTCCTGGGAGGGTGGACAGATGAGCAGACTGAACTGACAGTGACCAGGGACTTTACAGACACCATCGCTGAAAGCATGGGGAGCCCCAGTCCCCCAGGAAGTGCCTCTCCACTTCAGATGGTCTGGCTGACACTAAGCAGGATGTGTTCCTTTTTCCTGTCTGTGGGTCATGCTAACCTTCCCTCTGTGTCCCTCACAGATCCGGACGAAGGACAGGGTCTTCGACAGCATCAGCCATCTCATCAACCACCATCTGGAAAACAGCCTGCCCATTGTCTCCGCAGGGAGTGAGCTCTGCCTGAAGCAGCCAGTGGAGAGGAGCCCGTGACCAGCCAGCTTCCCTGTCTTGACACCACACCAGTCGTCAAGAGGACTCAGTTCTTCCCGATAAATGGGTATCGGGCTACAGGAACTTGGGCAGCTGCCCGCAGGCTCAGAGCCTTGTTCCAAAGCCCCAGGAGGAACCCTTCCGTAAAGTGCAGGTTTCATAAACTTGTTCCTATTTCTCATGTGCATAGTAAAGGTGTACATACCTATACATCCTATACAAATGATTCCCCTATATTTCTATTTTTTCAGACTAAGAAAGATGTAAGACTAATGTTCCGTGCTGTATGTTTTTAATGGAAAAAAAAAGTTTGACTGTAGTTGTCTCAGCAAAAAATTAACTCAACTGACCCATGCCACTGGGAAGGTCCACTAGGAAGGTATTACCTACAGTTTACCTAATAAGCACAATATGGGGACTAAAGGCAAGCAAGCGAGTCGGTAATAGACATGGGATTGTAACAGAGTCAGGCAAGATGCTACCCAAAGAGGTCCAGTGAAGCACTGNTAACTGACTACAGGGACACTTCACTTAAATGCTCCCTAGGCAACTCAAGCCTACCCCATCTCAAGTGGAAGATATCATTCCATCCATCATCCCTGCCTCCTCACCCCACCTGCCTCCTGGATTCTTCTCTATCACTTACCCAGTCACCAGTACCTCCTCCCTCTCGTGCTCCACATTCAGTGACTGACCACACCCCTAAATATCTGTGCAAACACCCCTTCTCCCCCACCCACCTGGACTGTCAGTGCTTACCCCTCCCACCACCCCCACTGCCAACAGGAGGCTCCACTAATGTCATTCCCTGCTCCAAATCTCTCCTGGATGCCTAGTTGCCTCCAGGATAAACTTAAACTGCTCAGTGCAAAAAACAGAAACAGCAAGCACTGTACACTTACTAAGGGCTGGGCACATGTTGGGGGCTGGGCACTTCCTGGGGTCCAGGCACTGTGGTAATTATGCCACACATCAGTCATTCACTCCTGAGGAGGATCTTATGAAGTAGAGCTATGTGATGCCATTTTACAGGGAAAAGACGTTTCAGAGAGGTCAGTAACTTGCCCTGAGGGACACTGTTAGGAGGTGGCAGTTGGGAATGTGAACCCAGGAGCTCAGAACTGCCTTCCTGTCAGTGCCCTAGCTGCTTTTCATGGGGGTCGGGGGCAGGACAGACATAACTGAGCAAAGTGTTCAGGGTACCGTTTGAGCGCTGAGCTGGGGAGCAGAGAAAGGGCACCTTGGGGCCCCCAGGTGGTTTCTATCTTAGTGGAGCATTCTGAGAAGCTGCTGTTTCTGTTTGGATACTGGGCAGGCATTGTCATCTCCCTGACCAACTGAGCTCTGAGCGGCTCTTCTAGCCCAGTGGTTCTCACAGGGCCCCCACACTCATCCAGCAGCCGCAGCATCACCTGGAACCTTCTAGAAATGCAAATTCTCAGGCCCCACCGCAGACCGCTGAGTCAGAATCTTGGGGCAGGGGAAGGGGGTGTCCAGCAGCCTGTGCTTCTGCAAGCCCCCAGGAGGGTCCAAGGCCACTCAAGGTGAGAACCATGGTCCAGTGAACACAACCTTCTAAAAACGAGGATGGATAGGTTAGCACAGTGACTAGCAGTAGAGACAAGATTTGAACCCAAGATTCATGATTTCTTGGCCAGTGGTGTTTCCCATGCACAGCAGTATCTTCTGATTCTGTTCTGCCTTGCACAGCTGCTTAAATACAAAAGTGGATAACCTGTATGAATAAATTTTGAAAAATTAACTTCTACTAAATTTCTAAAAGGGGGATAAGAACAGACACCAAACGGAAAAATAACCAAGAAGAATTTCCACCTCCCCCACAGATTTCTGGAGGTTGTGGCAGAGAATAGGT